ATTGGGCTTGTTCCAGAAGGGAGAAAAGCTGTGGCTAGAATAAGGGAATCTTATGCATCTAGTCAAGCACTCAAAAGTTGGGAAACACCAGAAATAGGGCTGCCTTTCCATGGGTAGTTAAGATAATGTGTGATACTGGGATTCAGATAGAACCTGACGGGTTAACTCAAAAATTCTCTGTTTGTCTAGCAGTCATGCGGATTTGATCCGTAAGACAAAAGGCAGAGAGTGAAACACATTGTGGTCAGTTTCTCTTTACCCTTTTCTATTAATCTTTGATTCAGCACTTTAGCATGTAGCCCTCTCTTCAAAGTCAATCTGTAGGATGGGGACTAACTTAGCTATACATATTCAAACCTCCTAATGTTTACATGGGAAAACTTTCACCACCAGTTCTTCTTATTCAGGATTCTTGCCTTCCGAGGTAAAAAGGCCAGTACTCCCAAAAGAATCGCACTGTGCTTCCTGTTCTTTGGGCCCTTGAGGAAAAGAATTAATTACTCAGTTTGGTAAGGGATGTCACCATCTCACCGAACTGTGTGAATTTTCCAGCTCATTTTAAGATAATGAAGTACATTGCACCAATATCTTAATAAATCCTACAGAGTAAAGGGCTTGAAATGTCATGCAGGGAGTAGTGAGCTGTAGCTCACGAAAGCTCATGCTCAAATAAATTGGTTAGTCTCTAAGGTGCCACAAGTACTCCTTTTCTTTTTGCGAATACAGACTAACACGGCTGTTCCTCTGAAACCAGAGCTTACACAGAGACCGTGTCTGAGTCCGGAACGAACTCGCTCAGGAACGAAAGACCACCAGAAACCATATCACGCTACAAGCGGCTGACATGAAATTGTTTGACCTCCCTTCTCTAACATAGATACTGGGGTGTACATTTCAAAGCAATCCCCATAAACAAAACCCTACCAAAACAAAACTCTGCACTTCCCACACAATGCCCCTTGGAAGAGGATCAGAGAAAGACCAAACCACAGGTGATTCCCCTTGCAAGTGGATGACCGAATGAATAAACCACATGAGAGAGGTGAATCATATTGCTTAAGGCACTACTGGAACATGTCAGATGTTAAGGCCTTTACCAGAAACTATAAACAATAGAATAGAATACAATGCTAGTATGTTGCTATTGTGCTGGGTGGCACAGACATACCATGTGAATCTCAGGAAAACAAACACAGAACATTGTCTCTGGACTCTTTTCCCTCCTTTAGAAGAAAATTATTTTATTCCAAGTTAAAGGAAATATCCATTGTATAATTTTAATACATTTTTAATGATAGACATTTCATTTTCATGATGATATCTTTATCTTAGCTCTGCCCAGGTGACATCACTTTACCCATCAATCATCACCAAAACACAGGATTTTTAAGAAATCCTTTCAGAATGAGGAATAGCCATGGGCTTTTGTTTCCTTTGCCCAGTTTCTCAGAATCATGAAGAGTAATGGAATTATGCAAGTGATAAATCTGCTCCTTCACATGTGTGGCTGATTTGAACCCTCATCAAAACTTAGCAAGTCATCCAGTCACAGAAGGATCTCTCTGGACCACACCTGATTGTCCCAGCTCTGTCCAGTGTCCTGAAAACCTAAATAGCATCACAATTGGCAAGGTGGCAGCTGCTTTCACCAGCTTAATGGTGATTTGGCCATCAAAAATCTATAACTAGAAGCCCAACACATGAAACTTCAGCTCAAATGTTATATCCGTCTTAACGTATGGGTGTGAAATCCACCATAGGTTCAGACATACACCTAAATGCCTTTGAAAGCAAATGCCTTAGGAAATACAAGGTATTAATTGGAATGATTTTATAACAAATGCTGGGATTTGTCAGAGAGTTCGACAAGCACTTGTGTCTAACTTTATCCTGAAAAGAAGATGGAAATATCCAGGATATCCTTCTCTTTTCCTTCTGCTACGAAGGTCGATATAGCTTTTTAGAGCTTAGCCATGTGAGAAAGGAAAGCACTCTTTTCAGCCACAGAACCATCAACAGTCACGGAATGCAAAGCAAATCCCACGTCCCCGTGCAATTTACTTCTCCTCCCACTGCTTAGCTCATGTTCTCCTAGCTTTGTCTTTGTTAGTGATTTCTCTAAAACTGCCAGAGTTTTATGTTAATTCTCGTACTACTGTGTAGGGATCAGAGTCTTCCCACGTAATATGTAACTGACTGACTCTGATCTTCTGGGATATTGCTCATACCCTAGTGAATCACTCTGTACAATTCAACTGTAGCATAGTCAGTGGTGGAACAATTTGATTCCCCAGCTCCCATCCCAACATTTAATTGTGGCTGTGCTTAAATCAAACTTGCAATTCCTAGCCTCATCCGCCTCTTAGTGTTTCCTTGATCTTCTCTCTCTTTTTAAGAGGTCTGGGCCCCATTCTGTCAGGTGCTGAGCAGCCACTTAACAAGACACCATCCTGCTCTGAAGAGCTTGCAATCTAAATAGACCAAGAATCACAGGAGAAATAACTGACACGAGGTCACCCAGTAGGCCGGTGACAGAGCTGGGAACAGACTTCCAGTCAAGTGTCCACTAGGCCACACCAACCACTGAAGAAGCACTCAAAAAGCTTTGGCCCTGTGTATCAATGTCTGTACTCCCATGGCAGGGCTGACTTGCACTTGAGGAACTTACCCCTCAGAGTCACACCTCTTTTGCTCTGGCACACGGCACCTGGAGGAGGCCTTGAGCAACCCAGGTCTCCCGGTGCTTAGGAGTCTGCTAGGGAGTGCAGGGCTGTGAGGACTTAGGGCTCTGAAGAAATAGGACCTAGTCTATCATAGCTGGGTTCTTAGTCTCTGTCCATGGCCGCAGTGTCTGAGCATGCTGTACGGAGAGGGAGCAAGGAGACAGAAGTAGGTGGGTTGGGACAGGGGTGGGTATCAAAGTGGGAGGAAAATTCATGGGGATGGAGGAATAGGGGGTTCAGGAGCAGGCTGGGGACACGGTTACAAAGACTAATTTAGAGTGCGTACTGTTAGGCGAGGATAGCTAATGCTCAAGGCCCATTTACTTTTTACGGTTTGATGTGAATACAAGGGAATATTGGTTCTGGGGAGGGTCAGATGGGTCTAGCAGAGAGCCCGCCATTGAAAGCCAACCCCCACCAACAGCAGAGAGACTTTGACCGAAGCCTATGACCAGAAGGGATAGGATGGGAAGGGAGAGGATTCTCTAACTCGATACAAAACCAACTCCCTCTCTGGCACTAGGGGGTGCTGTGCTGCTGTAGGTGTCATCTCTGCGATGACACCGAAAACCAAAATCCCAAGCACTTGTGGGTCCTTGAGAGCCCGTGCGAGGGCGTCTTTCAGCCCCTTCCTTTTGCGTCACTTGCTATTCCCGCTTAGTCAGTTAATGGGCACTGTGGACTCTCACGCTGCAATGCCCTGTGGTGTGTGATCCTCCTGCGGCTTCAGATAGCAGCAGCTGGATTAAAGACCTTCTGACTCAAACTCTCAAGCTGCCGACACAGGTGTATGTTCCTCTTTGGAATTCTAGTGTGTTATTCTCACGAGCTGGGCCTCAGGGTTCCAGGAACCAGGTCTTATCTAGAAGAGACGAGTTGGGAAATTACCTCTGGATTCTTCTAGTAAAGGAATCTGTCCCCTAGTGAGTCACAATAATTAAATACCTTACAGGAGGCACGGGGATCTCCTGGATATGGCATTGCACGGGGAGTCAGGAGAACTGGACTATATCCCTGCCTGTGCCACTGACCACCTGTGTGATCTTGGACAATTCATTTCACCTCCCTATGCCTCTTTCCCCTCCAGCCTTTTATCAGTCTAGATTAAAATTTTGGGGGCAGGCACTATGTGTTTGTACAGCACCTAGCACAATGGGTTTCCTGTCGTGGTTGGGGCCTCTCGGAGCTGCAGTAATACAAATCATTAAATTTAAAAAAAGCCTACCACTCTTCAGTATTTCTAATTGCCTGGCATCTGAGAACACTCAAAGTAACTCTCCTAAAGGGTCTGTTTGTCACAGAAATTGTTATTTCCCGACCAACGGACAGGAGAGAGATGAGATATAAAACGAAAAGCACAGGGGGGAAGAAGCTTTGCGTTCAGATAACACTTCCCCTTGAAATAACTTTTCCTGGAATTACTCTGCTTGTATTACAGTCGCTTTCACTTCAACCTTTTCTGTGAATTTGGCTATTCAGAACTCACTGCTAGACCCTAAAGGGCTGAGCCCAGGGACATCCAGGAAGTAGGGTCATAGAAATCCAAGTAGGAGAGCTTTGGCTTTCTCAGGTTGGAGTACTATTTCACCCTATGGTTACACGCATGGAAATCAGTGGTACGGCCTCTGAGAAAAGTGTAGCTCAACATGGGAAAGGGTGGCAGAATCCAGCATACAACATGATGCATTGTGGTAGAGGACCTAGACCCTGCTGTGTTAGGTTTGGTGCCTGTGCCAAAGATGTTACAATCTCAGTAAATCTCTGCCATGGCTTCTCATCTTGAAAGAAAGAAAGAAAGAAAGAAAGAAAGAAAGAAAGACCCCACTAGAGGTAAAAGGGGAAAGTGAGCGTCCTGACACATGCATAGATGGGTTCTTGTTTCCTAACTGAAATAAATTAAACCTTTCTTTCCTTGACATTATTCTTCAGAACAGTCAACGTCCACGGCAACAGGATCACATATGTGTTTTTTCCAGTCCATATTAGCATAATTCCCATTCCACACTCATGTTGATGGCGTGTTAGATATGTAAAATTGTATAATGTAATGGAGATGGACAGAAGATTGCTTTCCCCATTGGGGTCACTGGCATCCCATATATAGCAAGATAGCCCATGCCACAGCAGTTTACCTTCATTTTTAGAAAACACAACAATTAGAATGAAATTTCAGTGCAAAATGGCAAGAAGCCACCCTTAAGTGAAGACTCAATGTCAGATAATAAAGAGCCAAACTCCGTATCATTAAGAGTCACCTGACAAATATTTATTCTAGCAGAACTAACAGGGTGGACTGGATTTGAAGTGTCCTCCTGCTAAAAATACCAGGGAATCCATGAATCCAAGGTCACCTCTGTGTCTATAGAAGCATGGGTGGTATATCATGAAGGGAAGTTGCACATTAGCAGGAATAAAGAAATACGCATAATGGCTCAGAGCAAAGATCCATCCCGCCCAGTGTCCAGTCTCCAATAGCAACCAGAACCAGATGCCTCAGAGGAAGATGCAAGACAGTCTGAAAAAGGAATTTATGAAAAACCATAAAGCAAAGAGTCCTGGCATTAATTGAATTGCCTTTTTCTAAGGTAGAGTATGTGGATCAGGCAGAGAACTTACAAACAGCATTTACTCTAATATGTAACGTGCATTCGCTTAAAATAATTATTTAAAATAATTAGCAACATTAGTGATGCAAATGATCAATTGAAGGCTGTGTCACTGGAGCTGAACAGGATTATAAAAATCATATCTGCATACCTGTGGGGTGCCTCATTTCCGTGGAGCAGGCCGTGGAAACCATATAAAAAGGCTCGTGTCCCAGTGCTCCTCAATCCACTCGGCTTCTTCATTTGCTCCTGTTGGTGACTTGGTAAGTCTTATTCTTATTACTGAGAGCTAACTTCATGGCTGGGCTTCATTTCTGGCTTTCCTTTCCTTGCTCTTCACAAGAGCGTTTTGCATAAGTATCTTGCTGTGATTTCTCTAATCCCATTGCAGGGCTGCAGGAAGGGATTTCAGTCCATTCTCTGTCAGGGTTGTTCTTTCTCAAGTGGTTTGCAATGGCAATGCTCTCTCGACAGAAATGTTTCCCACGGCACCAAGCTCTGTTTGTGCTGAATGCTCTCTGTCCATGATTTCCAGAGCCCTTTCTAAATCAGGAGATTTAATTAGTGGGTGTGACAGCGAATTACAGGGCGGGGCTCAGTGCTTCAGAAGAGAGAAGTGGGAAAGGGAAACCTCTAGGCGGAGGCAGCGGTCAGAGACTTGAGGGCAGAGGAGTAAGATGTGTCTGGAAGTAACTCAGACTGACACGATATGGAGGGGATATAGCCCCTGCACTCTCACTGCCCGATTCCTCACGAGCGAAAACCTGTTCAATTCTGTGGATGTCAATGGAGCTCCACTGATTTACACCAGCTGCAGAGCTGGAGGGGAACAGAAGAGAATCTAAAGGCCTTGCCTGCGCACACATCCTCCCAATGAAAGAAAGGCAGTAAGTAGATTCAAGGAATCACCACCCATAAAAATCAAGCTGCTCTGTACTGGAATTACAACTCCAGATGCATTCGTGCAGCCTCAGGACCTGGGAAGAAAACATTTGCACAAATGCACTTCCATTCTGGACTATTTAGTTCAGAACACAAGAGGCCAAAGGAACTGACTGTTCATTTGGGGCTTTGGAAAAGTTCAGCTGAAAAGTTGACCCTTGGATCAGTTGTGTTGGGCTCAGTCAGCCCTACAGACTGTGATAATGACGAGATAGTAGAGAGTATCTTTACCAGTGCCACTTGCCACCTGCACGTTCAGAAGCACTGAGTGGTTTATTTCACTCTTCTCACAGAAAAACATTTGAATGCAGAAATGATCAATGGTTACATATACTGCTAAACCCATTCTGTATCTCTCGCCCTGCCATTAATCTCAGGATAACTCTTTCAACCGTAGAGTACATATTGCACTGAATGTTTTGCTTTCTTCTGCAGAGATATATTACTGGTCAGAAGAGTGTTTTGCTTAGGTATCTTGAGGTTATTTCACGAATCCCATTGCAGACCTTTAGAATGGGATTTCAGTCCATCCTCCCCCATGTTTGTTCTTTCTGAAGTGGTTTGCAATGGTAATGCTCTCTCTGGAGAAGTGTTCCCAGTGCACCAGCTTCTGATTCTGCTGAATGTTCTGGTGCATGATGCTAATGAAAAAATGATGCTGTTTGTCTTGATTTTGCAAACCTTGAAGCCTACTTTGTCTTTCAGTTTTGCCCACGTCCAGGAAGATGGTTTACCAGCAGCAATGCAAACAGACCTGCCTGCCTCCTCCTTGCTGTGTGACCAAGTGCACTACCAAGTGCCTGGATCCCTGCTGCAAAGTCTGTGTGACAAAGTGCGTGACAAAATGCGTGGATCCTTGCTGTAAAGTCTGCGTGAAGAAGTGCACTACATGCGTGCATCCATGCCCGTGCCCATGCCCTCAAAAATGCATTCCGTGCCCTCCCTGCCCTCCGTGCCTTCCAAAATGCCCACCTGTGCAGCACTGCTGCAAAGAAAAGAAGTTCTGGTAGGGCCCATGGAACAACTGACGACTATGGAATGAAAATGAATTACAGCCCCTCGCGCAGTAGCTCTCTCCTCACTGTGCTGGTCTGTCATTCCCCTTGCAGTGTGACGTGTTTTCAGTCTCTGTCCACACACTGTGCACTGTTTCTGCTTCTCCTGTCCAGAGGTCAATTCCTTCCCTTGTAATGAGTAACTGACCATCTTTGTGCCATGGGATATCAGCTGTGCCTGGGAGTGATCCTGTAACACTTGTGCTTGTAGACTCTTTAGTGTTGGAGATTTCCCCACTCTGGTCTCTTTTCCCAACCAGTCTTTTAATGTAGATGCACATCAATAAAAGCTACTATTCATTACATTGTTGGCCTCCTGGTGTTTCATTCTCTTCAGCAGTCACATGCTCTCAGACCCAGATTTTCCTAGGGGCGGGGATTTTTGAAAGGAAACCCAAGGAAGGAGGTGGTCGCAGGTGCCAAGAAGAAGTGATGAGGACAGAGGTAGGAAGGAGGAGTAGAGACAGTAGGGTACAGTTGAGACAGGCCGGTTCTCTGCTCCTGTGGGAGCGAAAGAGGAAAACAACAGCCCGTGTTCCCTGCTCAACGCCTCCACATCTGCTGACTGCGGTGTGTGTGCTACAGGGCCTGAATTCCCAGTGGGTATCTGGGTGCGCTGCACCAGTGGGGGCCAGACCAGCTCAGCTGCCAGACGGGTTCTGCCTGCTGCAGCAACTCAGCCAGAAAACAATTTAGTTTTTCTTAATTCAAAGTTCATCAGAATGTATCATTTTTATGAATCTCATGATTTTGGGGTCCCACTGCTGCCTTTTTAGCTCTTTGGCCTGAAAGTTCTGCCGACGCACACAAACTGGTTTCCTAATATTCTGCCATATTCAACTACTGCCACCAGCTACCCACCTTGCGCTGTAACTTCCCTTTACGTCCACATCTGAAAGGTGCGTCAGGCTAAGGGTGAGCAAATGTCCTGATATTATTGGGACTGTCCCAATTCTTAGGGGATTTGACTTACATAGGACCATATTACCTCCTCATTATACTCGTCCCCCGTCCCCCCATCCCGATTTTTCACACTTGCTCTCAAGTCAATCTAGTCAGACTCCAGGTTTCTGAGTATCCGTCTTCCAGCACATTGGGTGCAGCTGTGAAAATCATGACAGGTCCAGGTGTTGTTTGTACAGCACCTAGCACAATAGGGTCTAGGTCCACGCATAGGACACCTCGGTGCAATGACAATTCCGGTAAATGATAATAATGCCATTTTAGAAGGGACTGGGAGTTTATCTTTGGCCATCAATTTAGGGTGTTCACATCCACTGCTGGCTGCAATCTGATGGCCAAATTCATCTCTGGAGTAACTCCCTTGATTCCAATGTCAGACTGGGCCAGGAAAACGAGCTGTATTGCCCGGTGACATTCAAGTGACTCAACAGGCAGAACTAGCATAAAATAGGGCTGTTGTTTTTTATTTATTAAATCCTTTTCTTTGGAAGGAGCAATAAGACTGAGCTCCGCAGGCAATGCCCCGTGTTCGTTTTCATGCCTTGCCCATGGAGTACAGTCTTTGCAGGGGTGGACCACGACTCCGTCCCTCGGAACCTGTATCAGAAGAATAACAATGAGGGGCACAAGCTGATGCAACACCCCCACAACAGGTCTGGAACTGCTTTTGATTATGGGATGTCAGGATTATAACTCAGACCTCAGCCACCTGAGCTAAGTGGTAACACCGTTACCTAGAGTAGCCTGTCACCTTGAAATTCCATTTTCTGTTGAGTAGCCACTAGAGAGAGATACAACCCACCCATGACTGTGACAATTGTGAGAGGAGAGCAACAGAGGATCACTGGTCAACTTGGCCTCTACCAATTAATCAGAAAAACACAAGGTCTAAAGTACTTTAGTTCTGGCACTTCCTCCATACCAATAATTCTCAACATTTTCTGTAGTCTCCAATATTTGAGGTCATCATCATCTGAAATTGTGTCATCGCTGAGTAGTGGCCAGAGGCGCTGCTGGAGCAGCCACGGGGAAAAATTGGAGGGTTCTCTGCACGCACCGGCATCCCCCTGCCTTGCCCCAACTCACCTGCGCTCTGCCTCCACCTCCTCCCCTGAGCGGGCCGCTGTTTGGCGGCGGCAAGTGCTGGGAGGGAGGGGAGAGAAGGGGGAATGCGGCGCACTCTGGGAAGAGGCGGGACCGGGGCGGGGATTTGGGGAAGGGGTCCAATAGGGGCAGGGAGGGGGCGGAGTGGGGATGGGGACTTTGGGGAAGAGGTTGGAACGGGGGCGGGGCAGGGGTGGAGTCAGGGCGGGCACCCACCCACACCGGGAAAAGTCGGCGCCTATGGTAGTGGCTTCCTGCCATTTTGTGCTGCAATTTCATTCTAATTCTAATTGTGACAGGTTTTAATTGGTCCACCGAGCCTCGAGGGGGCAATGGAGAGCTACTGTCCCACTGGCAGGCCTTAGTCACACCTTGCAGGCACTGGGGAATTAGCGGAGAAGGTGTGCCGGCTGGAGTCTGCAGCGCGCCCCTCAGGCAAGGGAGGGTCGGTTAGAGTCTGCGGCGCGCCCCTCAGGCAAGGGAGGGTCGGCCCGGGTCTTCGGCGCGCCCCTCAGGCAGGGAGAGCGCTGGCGTGAGTCTGCGGCGCGCCTCTCAGGCAAGGGAGGGTCGGTTAGAGTCTGCGGCGCGCCCCTCAGGCAAGGGAGGGTCGGCCCGGGTCTGCGGCGCGTCCCTCAGGCAAGGGAGGGTCGGCCCGGGTCTGCGGCGCGTCCCTCAGGCAAGGGAGGGTCGGCCCGGGTCTGCGGCGCGCCCCTCAGGCAAGGGAGGGTCGGCCCGGGTCTGCGGCGCGTCCCTCAGGCAAGGGAGGGTCAGCCCGGGTCTGCGGCGCGTCCCTCAGGCAAGGGAGGGTCGGTTAGAGTCTGCGGCGCGCCCCTCAGGCAAGGGAGGGTCGGCCCGGGTCTGCGGCGCGTCCCTCAGGCAAGGGAGGGTCGGCCCGGGTCTGCGGCGCGCCCCTCAGGCAAGGGAGGGTCGGCCCGGGTCTGCGGCGCGCCCCTCAGGCAAGGGAGGGTCGGCCCGGGTCTGCGGCGCGCCCCTCAGGCAAGGGAGGGTCGGCCCGGGTCTGCGGCGCGCCCCTCAGGCAAGGGAGGGTCGGCCCGGGTCGCCCTGGCAAGGGAGGGTCTGCCCGGGCTGCGCCCCCCTCAGGCAAGGGAGGGTCGGCCCGGGTCTGCGGCGCGCCCCTCAGGCAAGGGAGGGTCGGCACGGGTCTGCGGCGCGCCTCTCAGGCAAGGGAGGGTCGACCCGGGTCTGCGGCGCGCCTCTCAGGCAAGGGAGGGTCGGCACGGGTCTGCGGCGCGCCTCTCAGGCAAGGGAGGGTCGACCCGGGTCTGCGGCGCGCCCCTCAGGCAAGGGAGGGTCGGCCCGGGTCTGCGGCGCGCCCCTCAGGCAAGGGAGGGTCGACCCGGGTCTGCGGCGTTCTGGATTCTGCTACCCAAGGCAGGCTGGCCGGGGGAGGGGAACGCAGCCCCCCCCCCCAACTCCACTGCGTTCCAGCCCAGGGCCCTGACAATGGTGGGAGGCGAAGGTCCCGCCGCTGGGTCAGCGGAGGACCCTCCGCGCCCCGCTGACCAAATACGCCCACCCCACGGCGCAGTTCTGCCCCTGGGCTACTTCCTACCCGGTCTCTCAAGCAGGCCTCTCCGGTCTCCCCAGCTCGTCCGGGTCTCCAGCCGCTGGCAGCTCCAGCTCCCACTCTGTGTCGGGCTCACGCTGGCCCAGGCTACAGCCGGGCCCCTCCAGCCCCTCCAGGTCCTCAGCGGCTGGCAGTCCTGGTCGCCACAGGCCTTCCTCCCGGTCAGGTTCCTCCTGGCCCAGAGCCTCCCCTGGGTCGGCAGCAGGGTCTGGAGAGAGCCGCCAGCAGCCTGGGTCTGTCTCCCACCCTGGTGCTGCCCGCACTGGGCCACGGGCCCCACCCTTTGTACTTCCTGTCCCATCCCGCCCCTTCCAGGGATTGGCGCAAGCTTGGTCTGGCCCCGCCGTCTCAGGCTGAGAGGGTGGCTCTTTACCCTCTCATTCGGAGGGAAGCCACCCTGGCTCCCTACACTAATCCATTGAAATACACTCGACATTCATCGATTCCTAGGCCAGAAGGGACCACTCTGATCATCTTGTTGGGGACACTGGGGCATGGCCACTGGGTAATTCGAGGGGATGGAAGACCACGAGTGTCGATGAAGCCTCCTCGCACGAGGCCCAAGTGTCCTTGCCCCCCCCCCCTCCCACCTGGAGGCACTCGCAGCAGCTCTGCGGACTAGGCCCAAGTGTTCTTGGCCCCCCTGCCTGGAGGCACTCACAGCAGTTATGCTGAGAATCTGCAACAATATGCTGCAGAGTCAGACTGCCTGAAACTAAGCAAGGCCACACAGGGCAGATATGGAAGAACAATGGTGAATAAAGCAGCTTTATGTATGGTTTAATAAATGTTTGGATACGGCAGCAAGGGGCACAGTATTAGGACCTGGCTATGATAGATTAGATCCTATTTCCTCACAGACCCCTATTCCCTAGCAGGCTCTTAATGCTCTGAAAGACCCGTGTTACTAAAGATCTCTTCCTGGGATATCTAAGGAAGCAGAGTGTGCCACAGGGTAAGGTGTGAGATTCAGGGGTAAATGTGGAAGCCTCCACTGGGGTCTGGTGCATATGTTGATCCACAGGACCAAAGCTTTTTGAGTTCTTTGGAATGTGGGCTTCAGATCATCCAAACCTGCCCTCTCTTTAGACCACTAATGTTTGTTATTGCTGTGGGCACTAAGTGGCTACCCAAGAAAAATGTCACGTCACATCATAGAGACCATAAATAGCAAAGACTTGGAGCTGTGGTAGGGGATGGTGTGGCCTAGTGAATAAACTCTTGACAGGCAGAGAGAGGAGCTGGGTTCTCTGCTAGCTCCATCACACACCTGCTGTGTGACCTCGGGTGAGTCCGTCCCCTCCTCATTTTCAGTCTGTTTAGATGGCCAGCTTTTCAGGGGAAGGGACTGTGACCTGCTGCGTTTCTACTCAGTGCCTGACGCACGGGGCCCCAGTCTCAGTGGGCCTGGAGGAGCGAATGAAATATGAAGTAATAATAATAGCTCTCCTGTACTTCACCAGCGCTGACAGAGCCTTAGGTGAAAGGTTGGCAAAGAGCTGGGAGGGCTTGGCTGATGCGGGTTGAATTATTTGTGGCACCCAGAGAACACTGCAGCGTAAGAAATGATCCGATGGTCTTTTCTCAGTTCTTTCTTTTTAGGTTCGTAGGTTGCTACGAAGTCACCCAGGCTTCTCTCGGAATTTTTCTTTCCTCTCTTTTCATGCTATGTGGGTCTTTTAAAGCAAACACAAAAGAGCTTGAAATGGGTGAGACAGGAGCCAAGCAGTGATTAAAGAGACAAGAGAGCACACCAGGACAGATATTAGAAAATTTTTCAACGCAACAATAATTCGAGGATGGATGGAAGCTGGGGAATGAAATTATTCCAGTGCTGAAGACGAGACGGTGGAATTGTACAGAGTGAGTTTCTAGGATGTGAGCAATATCTGAGGGGTACCTACGCAGTCAGTTACATCCTAGATGGGAAGGTCCTCATCCCATAAGGGAATTAACAGTCTGTGAAAGGATAAACCTCTGGAACCATCAGTGAAATAAGGAACAAAGCTCAGGAGAACATGAGCTAAGCAAGAGGAGGAGAAATAACTTGGAAAGGGATGTGAGAAGTATGAATTTTTGACAGGGAGGTTGCTTAACCATTGGAAAAACAATGCAAGGGAAGGGGGAGGATCCTCCATCACTAAAAGTCTTCAGATCAAGACCCTTCTGGCAGAGACGCCTTAGAGAATCACAAGATATGGGGTATAAGTATACAGCGGAGACTGGGTAAAATTCTCTGTGCACTATCGTACAGGGTGTCAGTCTAGATGGTAATGGTCTCTTCTCACCTTATGCAATTTAAAGGTGAAAATGAAGATAGGGGAATACAGCAATCGAGTTTCCAGGAAATATGAAACAGAGGTGTACATTTTGAAGGGCAATGCTTGATTGCACATGGTGCTTGCAAAAGTCTCCCCCATAATGTATAATCCATGGCTGTCCTTATGAATAGCATCAGTAACCCCCTATTGAAGGAGGCATGAATTCTGTGGAAGATTAAGATCTAGTCTCTTAAAAGACGCCTTTTTTCCTAGACTTCCATTGGTTTTCTAGGACGGCCAAGTCCCCATGGGGTCTATTTGGTATCTATGACAACACAAATAAATTGGAGGTAGGTTCAGCTGACCTAATAAGACCTCATTTCAGAGCTTTGGCCCACAGTATGGAGACTTCTGCAGCAGGTCCTTCTGCGAAGGAGAATGAAACACCAGGAGGCAGACGATGCCAGGAATCACAAATTTTATTGGAGCACGTCTCCATTAAAAGACATGATGGGATAAGAGAAAAAAGGGGGAAAATCTCCCACAGGAAAAAGAGTTGAAAGCACAAGTGTTACAGGATCTCTCCCAGGAACAGCTGACATCCCAGGGGCACAAAGACGGTCAGTTTCTCATTACAAGGGGAGGCATTGACCTTTGGAGAGGAAAAGCAGAAACGGTGCGCAGTGTGCGGATAGAGAGTGGAAACGTTCCTAGAAACACGTCCCACTGCGAGGGGAATGCCAGACCAGCGGAGCGAGGAGAGAGCTTCGGCGCGAGGGGCTGTAATTCATTCTCATTCTGTAGATGTCCGAGGTTCCATGGGTCCTAACAGAGCTTCTTTTCTTTGCAGCAGTGCTGCACGGGGGGACATTTTTCAGGGCACGGAATGCACTTTTCAGGGCACGGAATGCACTTTTCAGGGCACGGAATGCACTTTTCAGGGCACGGGCATGGACATGGATGCACGCATGTAGTACACTTCTTCACGCAGACTTTACAGCAAGGATCCACGCATTTTGTCACACACTTGGTCACACAGACTTTGCAGCAGGGATCCAGGCATTTGGTAGTGCACTTGGTCACACAGCAAGGAGGAGGTAGGCAGGTCTGTTTGCATTGCTGCTGGTAAACCATCTTCCTGGACGTGGGCAAAACTGAAAGACAAAGTAGGCTTCAAGGTTTGCAAAATCAAAACAAACAGCATCATTTTCTCATTAGCCTCATGCACCAGAACATTCAGCAGAATCAGAGCCTGGTGCACTGGGAACACTTCTCCAGAGAGAGCATTACCATTGCAAACCGCTTCAGAAAGAACAAACATAGGGGAGGATGGACTGAAATCCCATTCTAAAGGTCTGCAATGGGATTCGTGAAATAACCTCAAGATACCTAAGCAAAACACTCTTCTGACCAGTAAAATATCTCTGCAGAAGAAAGCAAAACATTCGGTGCAAAATGTACTCTAAGATTGAAAGAGTTATCCTGAGATTAATGGCTGGGCGAGAGATACAGAATGGGTTGAGCAGTATTGGTAACCATTGATCATTTCTGCATTCAAATATTTTTCTGCTAGAAGAGTTAAATAAACCACTCAGTGCTTCTGAATCTGCAGGTGGCAAATGGAAGTGCATTTGTGCAAATGTTCTCTTCCCAGGTCCTGAGGCTGCACGAATGTATCTGGAGTTGCATTTCCAGTACAGAGCAGCTTGACTTTTACGGGTGGTGATTCCTTGAATCTACTTACTGCCTTCCTTTCACTGGGAGGATGTGTGCGCAGGCAAGGCCTTTAGATTCTCTTCTGTTCCCCTCCAGCTCTGCAGCTGGTGTAAATCAGTGGAGCTCCATTGACATCCACAGAATTGAGCAGGTTTTCGCTCGTGAGGAATCGGGCAGTGAGACTGCAGGGGCTATATCCCCTCCATATCGTGTCAGTCTGAGTTACTTGCAGACGCATCTTACTCCTTTGCCCTCAAATCTCTGACCGCTCCCTCCGCCTAGAGGTTTTCCTTTCCCACTTCTCTCTTCTGAAACTCTGAGCCCCGCCGTTAATTCCCTGTCACACCCACTAATTGAATCTCCTGATTTAGAAAGGGCTGCGTAAATCATGGACGGAGAACATTCAGCACAAACAGAGCTTGGTGCCGTGGGAAACATTTCTGTCGAGAGAGCATTGCCATTGCAAACCACTTGAGAAAGAACAACCCTGACAGAGAATGGACTGAAATCCCTTCCTGCACCCTGCAATGGGATTAGAGAAATCACAGCAAGATACTTACGCAAAGTGCTCTTGTGAACAGCGAGGAAAGGAAAGCCTGAAATGAAGCCCAGCCATGAAGTTAGCTCTCAATATTAAGAACAAGACTTACCAAGTCACCAACTGGAGCAAATGAAGAAGCCGAGTGAATTGAGGAGCACTGGGTCATGAGCCTTTTTATATGGTTTCCATGGCCTGCTCCACGGAAATGAGGCACCCCACAGGTATGTCTCGCTCGAATCACACAGCCTTCAATTGCTCATTTGCATCACTAATGTTGCTAATTATTTTAAATAATTATTTTAAGCGGATGCACGTTACATATTAGAGGAAATGCTGTTTGGAAGTTCTCTGCCTGATCCACAGAGTCGACATTAGAAAAAGGCAATTCAATTAACACCAGGATTCTTTGCTTTTCCATAAATTCCTTCTTCAGACTGTCTTCCATCTTCCTTTGAGGCATCTGGTACTGGTTGTTGTAGGAGACAGGACACTGGGCGGGATGGATCTTTGCTCTGAGCCATTATGGGTATTTCTTCATTCCTGCTAATGTACAACTTCCCTCCATGATATACCACCCAGGCTGCTATAGACACAGAGGTGACCTTGGATTCATGGATTCTCAAGTATTTTTAGCAGAAGGATACTTCAGATCCAGCCCACCCTGTTAATTCTGCTAGAATAAATATTTGTCAGGAGATTCCTACTGATATGGTGTTTGGCTCATTATTATCTGACATTGTGTCTTCACTTAGGGGTGGCTTCTTGCCATTTTGCTCTCAAATTTTATTTCAGTTCTTGTATTTTCTAATACAGATGGCAAGCTGCTGTGGCAGGGTCCATCTTGATATCTATGGGATGCCAGCGACCCCAGAGGGGAAAGCAATCTCCTGTCCATGTCCATTATACAAAAAAAGTGGTAGACGATTTTTTTTATTTCATGATTTAAATGACTGAACCTCCTAGAAAAAAGAACAGGAGAACGTGTGGCACCTTAGAGATTAACAAATTTATTTGAGCATAAGCTTTTGTGGGAAGTGGGCTGTAGCTCACGAAAGCTTATGCTCAATTTGTTAGGCTCAAAGGTGCCACAACTACTCCTGTTCTTTTTGCAGATACAGACTAATACGGCTGCTACTGTGAAACCTGTACCTCCTAGAAGCCCCAACAACGAGAGCAAACTTATTGCTAGGTGCTGTACAAACACATGGCACCTGCCCCAAAGATTTCCATCTAGACAGATAAAAGGTTGGAGGGGAAAGAGGCGTAGGGAGGTGAAGTGACTTGTCCAAGATCACACAGGTGGGCAGAGGCAGGGATATAGTCCAGTTCTCCTGACTCCCCGTGCAATGCCTTATCCAGGAGATCCCTCTGCCTCCTGTAAGGTATTGAATTATTGTGACTCACTAGGGGACAGATTCCTTTACTAGAAGAATCCAGAGATATTTTCCAGCCCTTACCTTTCCAGGGAGGACCTCATTCTTGGAACCCTGTGGCCCAGCTGGTGAGAACAACACACGGGAATTCCAAAGAGGAAGATACACCCGTCTCGACAGCGTCAGAGCCTGAGTCACAGGGTATTGAATCAGCTGCTGCCATCTGAACCCACAGGAGAATCACACCCCCTCAGGGCCCTGCAGCATGAGACTCCACAGTGCCCGTTAATTGACTAAGGAGGAATAGCAAGTGACACCAAAGAAAGGGTCTGCAAGATGCCCTAGGATGGGCTCTTAATGACCCACAAGTGTTGGCTTTAAGGAGGAAAAGGGAACATGATCTTCCTGATACCTGCATAGAAAGCTCCTCATTTTCTGACTAAAAAACATTAAAACTTTCAACCCTTGTTTTTTTCTTCACAACAGTCACTGCCCTGTGTACACAGGATAAGCTGGGTGTCTTTCCCTGCCCATATTAGCATAATGACAATTCCACACTCACGTTGATGGCCTCTTAGATCTGTAAATGTTTTGATGGAATGGAGATGGACAGGAGATAGTTCTCACCCTTGGGGGCACTGGCATCTCATACGTATAAAGACGCACCTCCATCGGAAGAGTTTACAATCTATATTAGAAAATATTAGAATTAGGATGAAGTTTCAGTGCAAAATAGCAAGAAGGCAACATGAGGTAAAGACACAATGTCACATAACAAAGACCCAAGCTTCTTCTCAGGAAACACCTGACCAATATTCCCTCTAGCAGGAGTAACAGCGGCGAGTAGGCTGCATTTGGAGTGTCCTACTGCTAAAACTACCAAGGAATCCATGAGCCCAGCATCAGCTCTGTGCCCATAGAGACATGCGTGGTGTATCATGGACGGGAGATGTACATTAGCAGGAGCAGAGGAATACCCCTAGTGGATCAGCTCAGAGATCCATCCAGGCCACTATCTTCTCTCTGCAAGTGAGCAGTACCAGATGCCTCAGAGGAAGATGCAAAAGCCTGCAGAAGGAAGGAATGGAAATCCATAAAGACCATTTTTAAGCAAACAATGCAGTTGTTTATTGAATTGTATTTCTAATATGAATTTTGTAGGTCAGGCGTTTCCTCAAAGATGACACGTGTGTCCACTTAAACTAATTATTAAAAATAATGATGCAAACAAATAGTTGAAGGATGTTTAATTGGAGCAAGTTACTTTATGTAAATCGTATTTGCATACCTCTAGGATCTCTCGTTTCCGGATGCCAGGCCATGGAAACCATATAAAAAGGCTCGCATCACAATGCTTCTCAATTGACTCGAAATCTTTACTAGCTCCTGTCGGTGAATTGGGTAAGTCTCCTTCTGATGATTGGGAGCTAACTTTAAGGTTGGGCTTAATTTTTGGCTTTCCTGTCCTTGCTGCTCAGAAGAATGTTTTGCTAAACTATCTTGTGGCTAGTTCACGAATCCCATTGCAGGCCATGGGAATGGGATATCAGTCCATCCTCCCCCATGTTTGTTCTTTCTGAAGTGGTTTGCCATGGGAATGCTCTCTGTGGAGAAGTCTTCCTCGTGCACCAGCCTCTGATTCTGCTGAATGTTCTGGTGCACGATGCTCAGGAGAAAAGGATGATGTTTGTCTTGATTTTGCAAACCCTGAAATCTCCTTTGTCTTTCAGGTTTGCCCACGTCCAGGAAGATGGTTTACCAGCATCAATGCAAACAGACCTGCCTGCCTCCTCCTTGCTGTGTGACCAAGTGTACTACCAAGTGCCTGGATCCCTGCTGCAAAGTCTGTGTGACCAAGTGTGTGACAAAATGCGTGGATCCTTGCTGTAAAGTCTGCGTGAAGAAGTGCACTACATGCGTGCATCCATGCCCGTGCCCGTGCCCTGAAAAGTGTGCTCCATGTCCTCCGTGCTTTCCAAAATGCCCACCTGTGGAGCACTGCTGCAAAGAAAAGAAGTTCTGGTAGGGCCCACGGAACCACCGACGACTATGGAATGAAAATGAATTACAGCCCCTCGCACAGTAGCTCTCTCCTCGCTCCGCTGTTCTGCCATTCCCCTTGCAGTGGGACGTGTTTCTGGGAACGTTTCCAGTCTCTGTCCACATACTGCGCACTGTTCTGTCTCTCCTATCGAGAGGTCAATGCCTTCCCTTGTAACGAGTAACTGACCGTCTTTGTGCCCTGGGATATCAGCTGTACTGGGAGAGATCCTGTAAGATTTGTGCTGTAGACTCTTTCCTGTGGGAGATTTTCCCCCTTGTTCTCTTTTCCCATCCCGTCTTTTAATGTAGAGCAATAAAAGCTACAATTTACGACATCGTCAGCCTCCTGGTCTTTCATTCTCTTCAGCACTCACATGCGCTCAGAGCCAGATTCTCCTTCTTTGGGTTTCCTTTTAAAAAGACCCTTCCCTAGGAAGTGGTGGCTGGTGCCCAGAAGAAGTCATGGGGACAGAGGGAGCAAGGAGGAGTGGAGGCAGCTGGGTACAGGGGAGACAGGCCGGTTCTCTGCCTCTGTGGGACTGAAACAGTCAGACAGCAGCAGCCTGTGTCCCCTGCTCAGCGCCTCCCCCGTCTGCTGTCTGTTGTGTGTGTGCGACAGGGCCTGAATTCCCAGGGGGTATCCAGGTGCGCTGCACCAGTGGGGGCCGGACCAGCTCAGCTCTCAGAGGGGTTCTTGCCGTTGCAGCAGCTGGGCCGCAAAACAATTTTGTTTTTTTTAATTCTCATGATTTTGGGGTCCCACTGATGCCTTTTTAGCACTTCGGCCTGAGAATCCTGCCGATGCCCACAAGCTGGTATCCTAATATTCGGCAATATTCAACTACTGCCACCAGCTACCAGCCTTGCGCTGCACCTTCTCTTTACTGAAGGGTGCGTCAGGCTTAGCGTGACCAAATGTCCTGATTTTATCGGGACTGTCCTGATTCTTTGGGGATTTGACTTATATACGACCCTAACAACTAATCAGTATGTCAAGAGAAAGGACTGTGTGGTACCCCCGAGCTCTGATTCAGCTGGGAAAGGACCTGCTGCAAAAGCCACCATGCCGGGAGGGTGGGGTGGGCAAAGCTTTGAAATGAGGCCTTGTTAAGTTAGCCATCCCCACCTCCAATTCAGTTTCTATTTTTGTGGGTACTAAAGAGAGCTCACAGGAGCTTGGCCGTGCTAGAACATCAATGTCCGGTTGAGCAAAAGAAGAAACCGTGACGAGAAAAGATCTTGATTTTCCACAGTATTGGCACCCCCTTCAGTCAGGGATGACTGATGCTATCCGTAAACACTGGCATGGATCAGATATTATGTGGGAGATTTTTTATATGCTTACCAGGGCTGGGTGCCCAGAAATGAGACAGGCTAGTGATATGCAGATGTGATTTTTAACAATGCAAACTTCCTCCACCTACAGATCCTTCAATTACTTGCTTGCATCAAGATTTTTAATAAGTATTTTAACAATTAGTTATAATTATTTTAAGGAAACACACGTGACAGTGTCTGAGCAAATGCTGTTTGTAAGTTCTTGCGCCTGACCCACGTAATTCCAATGGGAAAAAAACAATTCAACAAAGAACTGGCTTATTTGCTTTCTAAAATGGACTCTTATGTATTTCCATAAATTCCCCTTCACAGGCGTTCTTGCACCTTCTTCTGAGATATCTTGGGGTGCTCACTGTCAGAGACACGATCCTGGCCTAGGCTGATCTGTGGTCTGACCTGCTATGGGTATTTCTCCATTCCTGCTAATCTGCAGCTCCCCTCCACGCTTCTATAAACATGGAGTTGATGTTGGAATAATGAACACCCCAGTAATTTTAGCGGTAGGACAGTCTCCACTCTGTTAGTCCTGCTAGAAGACATATCTGGGGTCCTTATCATCTGACATTGTGTCTTCGCTTAGTCGTGGCTTCCTGCTACTTTGTGATGCATCTTCTTTCTCCTTTGAATCCAATCGAATACACTCGACTTTCATCGATTCCAAGCCCAGAAGGGACCACTCTGATCACCTCATCTGATCTCTTGTCCAACACTGGCCACAGAACTAACCCGGAATAACTTCTAAAGCATAGACATTGGACAAACATCCGGTCTTGATTTAAAACTTCTCAGTGATGGAGAATCCACAACCACGGCTGGCAAATGGTTCCAATGCCTAATCACACTCCCTGTTAATATTTTACGCCTTATTTGCAGCCTGAATTTTTCGAGCTTCAGCTTCCAGCCATGGTCCAGTGACCTCCTCAACCAGCTCTTGTAAAACTCTTGCATTTGAGTTATCTGGACCTCCTTCTTTAAAAATGTCTAACTTTAATAGCTTCTCTTCAACATCCTCTATTGTAACACCTTTGTGCTGGACAGGTGTCTATCCTTATACATATGGGATGTCAGTGCGCCCAGTGGTGAGAGCAAAATCTTGTTTATCTCCATTATCTTAAAAATGTTTACATATCTAAGGTGCCCTCAGTCTGAGTTTGCAATTATAATTACCCCAATATGGACTGGAAAAGTCACCCATGTTATCCTCTTTATACAGGGTGGTGAGCATTCTGAACAAGAATGACAAGAGTTTTAATTGATTTAAATCATGGAATGAGAACTTACCATACATGTGTCAGGAAGCTCATGTTTCCTTTTAACTTATCATAGGGTGGTTGTCTTTCTGTCTTTCTGTCTTTCTTTCTTTCTTTCTTTCAAAAAAGAGACTGTTGCAGAGATTTCCTTAATTGTAAGCTACTTGAGACCAGAACCATAGTTTCCTTATGTGTTTGTACAGCCCCTAGCACAATGGGGTCCTGGACCACGAATGATGCTCCTTGGCCTTACCTCTATTCCAGGATTATGCCCCAGATTCTATCACCTTCAGGAGAGGGGACTGTGTCCTGTTGCATGTCTGCTCAGCCCTTGACGCAATGTGGCCCCTGTCTCAGGGGGGGCCTCGAGGAGCTCATGAAATATGAAGTAATAATAATGGCTCTCCTTTACTTCACAGCACTGACACACCCTTAGATGAAAGGCTGGCAAAGAGCTGGGAGGGCTTGGCTGATGCGGGTTGAATTATTTTTGGCACCCAGAGAACACTGCAGCGTAAGAAATGCTCCGATGGTTGTCAAGGTTCCTTCCCCACTCTGAACTCTAGGGTACAGATGTGGGGACCTGCATGAAAACCTCCTAAGCTTACTTTTAGCAGCTTAGGTTAAAACTTCCCCAAGGTACAAACTATTTTACCCTTTGCCCTTGGACTTCCACTGCCACCACCAAACGTTTATCTGGGCTTATTTATTAGGAAAGCATTATTTGGAAATGTCTTTCCCCACAAAATCCTCCCAACCCTTGCACCCCACTTCCTGGGGAAGCTTTGGTAAAAATCCTCACCAATTTGCACAGGTAAACACAAACCCAAAACCTTGGGTCTTAAGAACAATGAAAAAGCATTCAGTTTCTGAAAAGAAGGATTTTAAGAGAAGTAAAAAAGAATCACCTCTGTAAAATCAGGATGGTAAATACCTTACAGGGTAATTAGATTCAAAACATAGAGAATCCCTCTAGGCAAAACCTTAAGTTACAAAAAGAGACACAGACAGGAATATTCATTCTATTCAGCACAGCTTAATTTCTAAGCCATTTAAAGGAATCATAATCTAACGCATCTCTAGCTAGATTACTTACTAAATTCTAAGACTCCATTCCTGTTCTGTCCCCGGCAAAAGCATCACACAGACAAACACAGACCCTTTGTTTTTCTCCCTCCTCCCAGCTTTTGAAAGTATCTTGTCTCCTCATTGGTCATTTTGGTCAGGTGCCAGCAAGGTTATCCTAGCCTCTTAACCCTTTACAGGTGAAAGGGTTTTTCCTCTGGCCAGGAGGGATTTTAAAGGGGATTACCCTTTCCTTTATATTTATGACAATGGTCTTTTCTCCTTTCTTTCTTTTTAGGTTCGTGGGTTTCTACGAAGTCACCCAGGCTTATCTCGGAATTTTTCTTTCCCCTCTTTTCATGCTATGTGGGTCTTTTAAAGCAAAACACAAGAGAGCTTGAAACGGGTGAGACAGAAGCCAAGCAGTGATTAAAGAGACAAAGAGAGGGCAAACACCAGGAGGCAGATGATTCCAGGAAGAGCAAGTTACATTTCAACGCAACAATAATTCGAGGCTGGATGGAAGCTGGGGAATGAAATTATTCCAGTGCTGAAGACGTGACGGTGGAATTGTACAGAGTGAGTGTCTAGGATGTGAGCAATATCTGAGGGTTGACTACGCAGTCAGTTACATCCTACATGAGAAGGTCCTGATCCCATAAGAGAATTAACAGTCTGTGAAAGGATAAACCTCTGGAACCGTCAGTGAAATAAGGAACAAAGCTCAGGAGAACATGAGCTAAGCAAGAGGAGGAAAAATAACTGGCAAAGGGATGTGAGATGTGTGAATTTTTGACAGGGAGGTTGCTTAACCATTGGAAAAACATTGCAAGGGAAGGGGGAGGATCCTCCATCACTAAAAGTCTTCAGATCAAGACTCTTCTGGCAGAGACGCCTTAGAGAATCACAAGATATGGGGTATAAGTATACAGGGGTGACTGGGTGAAATTCTCTGTGCATTATCGTACAGGGTGTCAGTCTAGATGGCAATGGTCTCTTCTCACCTTATGCAATTTAAAGGTGAAAATGTAGATAGGGGAATACAGCAATCGAGTTTCCAGGAAATGTGAAACAGAGGTGTACATTTTGAAAGGCAATGCCTGATTGCACGTGGTGCTTGCAAAAGTCTCCCCCCATAATGTATAATCCATGGCTGTGCTTATGGATAGCATCAGTAACCCCCTATTGAAGGAGGCATGAATTCTGTGGAAGGTTAAGATCTAGTCTCTTAAAAGAGACATTTTTTCCTTGACTTCCATTGGTTTTCTAGGACGGCCAAGTCCCCGTGGGGTCTACTCGGTATCTACCACAATACAAATAAATTGAAGGTAGGTTCTGCTGACCTAATAAGACCTCATTTCAGAGCTTTGGCCCACAGTATGGAGACTTCTGCAGCAGGTCCTTCTGCGAAGGAGAATGAAACACCAGGAGGCAGACGATGCCAGGAACCACAAATTTTATTGGAGCACGTCTCCATTAAAAGACATGATGGGAGAAGAGAACAAAGGGTGGAAATCT